CTGATGGGATAAGGAGCACACTCAGGAAAGCGAAGAAAACAGAACTTGTGACCTGAGATAAAAACTGATTAATAATTGAAATKATTAAAAAATAATTTGTTACATTTGTTAAAAAACAAACAACAGAGTGGCAACAACAACAACAATAATATTAATAATAATAATAATAATATGGTGAGAAGGAGAGAATACACAAAAAACCAAATGATGCACATTACAACTGCTCACTASCCACTAACCAATGCCAAACCAGTCCCCAAACCCCAATCAGCCCTTTGTTCTGGGTAACTCCCCCATACTGGGCAGGATGTTGTCTGGCACAGAGTGTCCCCTTGGCCAGTTCAGRGCAGCTGTCCTGGCCATTCTCCCTCCCAGATTTTAGTGCACCTCCTCTCTGGCAGAGCACGAGACACAGAAAAGTCTGGCACAGGGTACATGAGAAGTGGTGTTGTGGGTTAAGATTTCTCCTTTTGTTTCCTTTCTTGGGAAATTTTTCTTTCCCATTTTGTTGCTGGGATACACTGATYGCCAGGTYATCCTTTTGATGGCTGGGCGATTGGTAAAGACAATAGGACCTACACCCCACCCAAACGATCCTGCTAAGTACTGGGAGGAGGTGGGTGTGGGTGTTGTGTGGGGGGTAACTATATATCCTGCCCTGCTTGCCTTAGAGAAGGAGGTTGGCCTGCTACCTGTGGAGGAGAGCTTGACTGCTCTTCTCTGCAGAGCCCAGCATCTCCGCTCGTTGGTTCCTGTTTTGCTGCACTGTGATCTTCTGCCCCCATGCCTTGCCTGGGACCCCTGAGATTCGTGCTGTGGTGGTTAAAGGAGCACTGAGATCAGCGTTTCTGCTGTGAGTTTGCAGAGGAACTTTTTCTCCATCTATCTCTGCCAGTTTGTACCCATCCTTGGCCACGTGAGCAATCTGGGTGTATCTCTGTGTGAGGCTGTCACTGGGTTTGTGACTGGGCTGGTTGTTGCTATTGTTGTTATTACTTATTTCATTTTGTTATATATATATTAGTAAAAACTGTTATTCCCTTTTTCCCATATTCTTGCCTGAAAGCCTGTGTTTTTTTCAAAGCTATAATAATTTGGAGGGAAGGAGGGTCATATCCACCACTCTAAGGGGGGGGTCCCTGCCTTCATTGGCAAACACCTCTTTCAAACCAAGACAAGTGGAAGGAGAAGCAGAAGAGCACCGGGCTCTGGCAGCCAGCCCCGTGGTGGGAGGTGTGAGTGTGTTTGAGAGTGGAATGGTGATAGATTTTAACCTCAGGACACATTTGTGCCTGGGTATGTTCCATTAAAAGCTGATTCTCCCAATGGCTTAGCGTGGAAGGGGGTACTGGGGGCACTGGGGAGCAGCAGCCAAGAGGTGCAGGAGCTGTGCTGAGCACCAGCTCAGAATCAGCCCCCCGAGGCACCGAGCTGCCCCCAGGGCTGAGGCATGGCCAGCTGCCATGACAGAGGTGGGGGTGACTGCCCTGTCCCCTTCCTTGGGGGAAGCAGCCAGACCTGACGGGTCAGTGCAGGACTCTGGTCACAGCCTCATGCAGAGAGCAGCACAGAGTCCCTGGGGCAAGGGCAGACGGGGGACAGGGCTGGGGATGGACACACACAAGGGGTACAGCACCTTCATCTCGAGCACGAGCAGTGTTCCCTGCAGTGGGGACAGGGATGGGTGCAAAACCCTGCAAAGCCTCAGGGCACTGGGCCCTTCCTGCTGTCCTCTGCACTTGGCTCTGCTGCTTGGCTGTGCCTCACTGCTGCAGTCAAATCACCCCAAGAGTGCCAAGGGGTCGGTTGCAGGCCAGGCAGGGACCCTCCTCTCCCGGTCTGGCTGAATTGGTGGAGTTGGAGAATAAGAAGAAAAAAATCCCCGCACTGACCAGGCAGTGCTGGGAATTTTCATCTCTCCTTGTTGCCCATTTCTCGTGCAAACTCTGGAGCCCATGCCAGGTGTGGATCATGGGAAGGTGCATTCCCATTGGCATCAGCCCCACCCCGAGCATTGTCCTTGCCCCAGGGTTCCCAGGGCTGCCACTGCTCACCACCCTTGGGGCCATGGGGTTCTTCTGCCTGAGACACAAAGAGGAAAAGCCCAGAACTTCAGGAGTTCTGTAAAACTAAAAAAAGTAATAGCATGTGCTGCCAAAGTGCATCTCGGAGCTGTTGTAAATAAATTTTGAAAGTTTGGCTTTCACAGAGTTGTATAATTTAATGTTAGATTTATAATAATGGTTTCTGTAAGTTATTGTAGTGCGTTTATTTGGGGGGGGGGGGGTTCAGTTTGAATTTCAATGAAGGGGGGGGGGGGGGGGGGGGTCAGTTTGAATTTCAATGAAGAGAAAAGTTGAATTAAAGTTTAGTTGCTGCAAAGTCTGAGGGAACAGGCTGATGGAGTCACCATGCCCCTCTCTGTGCTGTTGGAAAAGCCACAGCCATCAAGTGAAGCCCTGGGTGAAGAGAATAATAGTAATACCAAAAATGATAATTTATAATAATATTTATCCACCTTCCCAAGATAAATTTAAGATGTTTTGTTTTATTCCCATATGTAGATGAACCAATGTGTCCAGCCCCAAACAGAGAATTCAGATTTAACAGAAGCTAATGCATTAGTGCCAGGTAGATTGTGTTGCCAGGGTTTTGGATAAAATTCTTTACTACTTTCAGCTAGTTCCTTAGACAACTCCTAAATAACCTGAAAAGTATCTGCAGAGTCGTAGACACATGTTTAACAACACATAGCAAAAGATGTTGTTCCAGTGTTACTATAAATGTTAAAATTGTTAGGAAAATTAATCCACAAACACCAGAGGTTTATGTCCAGAAAGGAGACAGAGGAATCTTGTAAATTTATTGGAATAAAGGGAGAGGCCATGGGGCATTTCCATGGGGTCTCTCAAATTCAGTCTCCTTTTTATCCCTGTTTTCCGGCCTAATTTCCTGCTCTCTTTCCCCATTGGCTGAGGAACYTGAGAGGTACAGAATTCCCAAATCCCCTAATACAGACCCCATCTAATGTGCATCCCCTACTTTTTATTCTTTGTGTCTCTGTTCTTTTTCTCTCAGTCCAGGGATTTAGCTCTGCCTTGGGTCAGTACAAGTCTGTGTCAATGGGTGGAATTCCTCTGGAATTTATGGTCCCATCATTGCTCCTTTCACCTGTCAGGACCTGCCCTTATCTCCCAGCAGACCCCACAGCTTGTTTGTAAAGACACCTCCCTCTCATTCCTTTCAAAATGTTCATAAATGGATCTATTTTTAAAGTTTTTTAGGAGATGAAGCATCACTCTGTGGAGATGGGTTTAACGTATCAACAGACTGGGAGTAGCCCATAAGATTTATTTATCATGGATCTTAAAAATGGTGGTCTTGGACCTCTCAATGAGGCTTTGAAGTTTAAAGTATAAACCTTGAAACTTGTACATGTGATTTTGTAGTCCAAAATTTGGACCTTAAATTGACACTGCTCTCTCTAATGTGGGCTTTGGGGATTTAAACTTGTGTGGGATCTGCTGCTCCAAATGGCTCCCTGTATACGACCCTGTGTTGAAAACAATACAGCTTTTAAAATTTATTTTATTTCCCTAGCTAGGTTTAGTTTGACTTTGCTTTAGGGAATGGAATTATTATTTTTTTAAAGTTTTTTTGAAGAGATGAAGTATCGCTCTACAGGAGATGGGCTTAACATGTCAATGAATTGGGAGAAGCCCAAAAAATCCCCAAAAGAATAAACATACAAAACATCAAGAGAATATCAGTGGCCATCCACAAACATCTACCCCAGACCCTCTGGCAGAGCTGGAGACATCCAGTCTGGAAAAAAACTGATCAAGAAAATCAAGGAATGAAGATCTAATTAACATCAGAGGCAAAGAAATTCGGGTCCAATAGGAAAGTGAATCCTGGGGGTTGCTCAACTCTGGACCAATGGACTTKGAAATGATACATYYCTRTGAGTTTTGACTGTATAAAGTTTGAARRAAAATCYTSTAAAAGCACGTGTGTTTGGAATATTTTCCTTGGCACRTCCTGGCCAGTAAATAAAGTAATGCCTGATTCTCTATCACTTCAAATATAGTGTTAAGAGRGTTTTTATTTTCTTCCCGATTTTYGGTGACATGGGRACAAAGGGATGGCACCYRCAATACCCTTCTCTGCCCTGGAGAGGTGGATTTGCAGGCAGCGTTGGAAAGGTGCCTGGTGGCTGGGCTGATTTGATGCTCCAGTCTCGATCAAGCCGATCAAGGGGAAGCACTGATGAAACAATTTTGGATTTTGGAACAGTTTTGATACGGTCCATCCCAAGACCTTTCTGGCACACGTCTGGACAAACCCATCCTGCGACAGAAGAGCTACGGGCCGAGGGGTCACAGCGGCCGGGGTGACACCAGGGAGCGGGGACAGGAGTGAGGGGACAGGATGAGGGGACGGCTCTGGGAGAGGGGACAGGAGTGAGGGGACGGCTCTGGGAGCTCCCCCAGCCCTCAACGCAGGCGGGCCAGGGCAGGGCCGGTAAGTGCCGGGGGAAGAAGCGCTGGGACCCGCGGGCCCGCTCCTGCCCGCACCGATGGACCGGGACCCACCCGTCTCCACAGACCGGGACCCGCCCGCCCTGAGGGACCGGACCCATTCCCGCCCGCCGCCATGACGGACCCGCCCCTGCGTCACTTCCGCTCCCCGCCCGGTTCTGGCCCCGCCCCCGAGCGGCGGCAGCGGCGGGCCCTTGGCGCCCCCTGGAGGTTGGGAGCTGCTCCTGCAGCGCCCCCGCCGGGGCAGAGCCGGGAATGGCGAGGGGAGGGGGAGRCCGGAGCATGGGGGAYGTGGAGGGTGTGGGGAGAGGGACASCGGGGACAGGGAGGCGCGGRGTCGGGGCGTCCCYCGGTGCTGGGAGGCGACAGGAGGTGCCCGCGGTGCACCGGGAASAKCCAGCGGGGCTGGARGAGCCGGCGGGGAGGCCGGAATAGATGTACACGGGGCGTGTTCCGGGCGGACCGGAAGCGCGGCTGAACCCGTTGCCGTGACAGCGGGCCCGGGGCCGCCATGGAGGCCGCGCTCACCGACATGTACGACCAGGCGCTGCTGGGCATCCTGCAGCATGTCGGCAACGTGGAGGAGTTCCTGCGCATCCTCTTCGGCTTCCTCTACCGCAAGACCGACTTCTACCGGCTCCTTCTGCGGCCCGGGGACCGCTTGGGCTTCCCGCCAGGCGCGGCGCAGGCCATGGCACTGCAGGTACCGGCGGGGCCCGGGGGAATGACGCGGCCTGGCCGTGCTGGTGACCGGCGCTGTCCCTGCCGCCGGACCGAGCYGAGCCGAGCCCAATGGGCCGTGTCTGCCGGGCCGGGCAGTGTCCGTGTCGGGCGGCGGCGGGGTTAGGTCCGGGCAGGCGGGGGTCGGGCAGCACAGCAGCTCCCGGGGCACCGGCACTGCCTGGGGGAGCGGAGGAAGGCACGRGAGGGAAACATCACCCTCGTTAGAAGATGAGGAGCCGCACAGGCAGGCGAGGATTGCGAGAGCCCGGCGGGAAGAATCGCGGTTCGACATTCGCTCGCAGCTCGGCCCCGGGAGCACCGAGCCCGGCTGGACTCGGGGATCTGCCACCAGGAGCCGTGGGAGCAGAGAGCCCCGAGACTGGCAGGGGGCAGATGAGGACCCGGGAGTTGTGAGGGGAAGCAGGTTCCCCCCTCAGCGAGAGCTTGTGGCCGGCATTGCTCTGGTCCTGCTCCTGGACGGGAGGGAGTAAAAGCCCTGAGCCGCTCGGTTCGTGTTAGAGCAGCTTTGATTTGGGGCTTCTCTGGTGATTGTTATTGGTGTTCACTGGCAAAGGAGAGAACGAGCTCATGAAATTTGAAGTGAGGCTGTGTTTAGGGTGTTCGTCTGCTCACAGTGGATGAGTTTTTCTTCCCAGGTGCATTAGACCTGGCGTGTCATGGATCAGGGGGATGGGAGACCTCCATCTCCCTGCACAGCCTCATGGCACATGGAGGTCCTCGTCACCCCCCGGAGTAACCCCTGCTGACCTCTGGATTAGGGGGAGCCCCAGAGGGGCCTCAGGCTGTAGAGGGACAGCATGGAGCTCAAACTGCTGGGCAGAGGAGCAGTGCTGAGGGGGTTCCTGTCTGATGTCCCCCTGAGGCTGTTTGGGGCTGGGCACAAGGAAGGAGGTGCAGCGTTCCTGCTGGGGAAGGTGTTAGTCAGGACAGCCACCAGAGGCACCCAGAGCGTGAGGACACTGTGGGAGGGGTTTATTCTCCTCATCCTGGCTCAACTGCAGCCCAGTGGACACAATTCTGAGGTGTTGCTTTGCATGATTCATGCAGGGCTGGCACTCAGCTCTTCCACTCCTCCCCTCTGCTCACTGCCTGGGGAGGAAGGCGGGGGTGAGTGGCACAAGCTTCTGTCCTTTTGTGGTTGCACTGGCAGGAGCTCTGCCTCAGCCATGTCCTTTGTCCTGCACCTCCTGGACCCAGAGGAAAACTCAAATCGAGCAGGTTTGCCAGTCCACAGCTGGAAGCACTGTATCTGCCTCCAAAACGTTCCTGGGAGTAAAGGAGAGCTGTGTTTGATGCTTGCACACTTTTCAGAACACATTTACGATGCCAGTGCCCTGACTCTTGGGTGGGAGAAGTTGAAGTTCTTCAAGGAGCAGGTGCAGGGTCTGAGTCACTGTCATCCCTTGCTGCAGATGCAGCTTTGGGCTTCCCTTCTGAGCTCCAGCCTGGACAGGCATGGCCAGGAGCCATGTGCAGGGTAGGATTACACCTCCTGGGATCACATCTCCCCCTGCACCTGTCAGCCAGTGCCAGGTCAGCTGTTCTGCAGCCTCTCCTGGGGCAGCTCATCCTTTTTGCCTGTTGGAAACTATCTGAGTCCAGGGTCCCTGGGTGAGCACTGCAATATGGGGTGAACCCCTTCCCAGACAAAAGCTGCATCTCATTGCTCCCCTTTCCCCTGGAGTAACCAGACATCTTCCCTGGTTGGGGAGAGATTGCCTGCCAGAACACAATCCTAGAAACAATTCCAAAATGCTCCCAGGGGTTTCTGAAGCATGCTTGACATGGCTGTAGGATTTTTCACAGAGTCACCAGTTGTTTTTAAACAGATCACAGTGGGTACGTGATGCAGAGAGAGGAAGGAATAAGTGCCCCAGGTGTACTGGGCAAGATTCTGCTCCTGTCAGCATCCCAGGCAGAGCTGGCAGTGCTGCTCACTCGGTTTGCTCTTTCTCTCGCAGGCATTCCGAGTGTTTGAGCGGATGGCCAGGCAGGATGATGAGAAGAGGCGGCGGGAGCTGGAGGCCAAGTTGAGGAAGAAGGAGGAGGAGGAGGAGGCAGCTGCAGCTGCTGAGAGGGTGAAGCTGTGCCCTGCAGCTCAGGAGATTGAGGTGGAGACGACAGAGCACATCCCAGCAGCAGAGGCTGAGGGGGCTGCAGGCACACAGCAGGAACAGGAACCGGCCACAGCCCAGGGCACTGCAGCCCCCAGCCCTGTGTCCACGGAGCCTCTGGGGGCTGCTGCCCCAGCTGAGCTGCCCACGTAAGCATCTCTTAATTTATTCATGCTCTTGGCAGGGGGGAGGCAAAACCATGGACAGGGTGTCCACTGCTTCCTGCACTGCTCTTTTTGGGTTTTGACCTTCCTCGGCAGACACTCGGCCCTTTGGGAGGCTGTGAGGATTTCCCTTGCAGGCTTCCATGGCCAGAGGCATTGTGTAAATCCCCACAAGAGAGCTGGAGGAGTAATCCTGTGGGTGGTTCAGGGTTTTCCACTCTGCTCTGAGCAGGGTGTGTAGCATATCCTGTACATGGCCCCACAAACTGGCTGTGGTGAGCACTGTCCCTTTTCTGGCACTTGCTAAGGTTCACATAGAAGTCTTGGCACCAGCTTGCAACTTTTTGTTAGTGTTGGACTCACTGGTGTGCTGGGAGACATCCCAGCAGCTGTCTGGGAGTGTGCAATACCTGCARGTTGGTGCTGGCAGGCCTGCCTGTGTGACGGCCCGGCTGCAGCAGCAAATGGGTTTGGAGCMCTCTAGAGGTCTCTGGCCCAGCCCTGGGCTCAGATCAGGGCCAGAGATCAAACATTTGAAGAGTTTTGAAGATCAAACATTGCAGAGTTTTCTCTTTAGCCAAGCTTGGTGGCTTTCCAGCTGTGCCAAGCAGCCTCTGTTTGTGGAGGTATGTCCTTGTGTCAAAGTCCTTCCACGGCCTCTGGGACACTCCCAGGCTGACCCTGTGTGCTGAGCAGCAAGAGATGAGCTCCAGAGGATCAGCACTGTGTCTCTGAGCTGTGCACCTGAATGCAGGTCCTGTGCAGGGTTCACTCATAGTTCCCTGGGCCTCACCTTGACCCTGGGCCGAGGCAGAGCTGCCCAGCCTTTGCTCAGGGCCTCTTGCTCCACTCTGGTGTTTTTTTGCTGACCAAGTCAGGGGTGTGATGCTGTGAGTTGGCTGTGCAGACCTCATCTCCTCCTCACCTCCCTGGTGGTTTTTGTGGTCAGACCCCTCTCTGATCACCACAGCTGTCCTGGCCATACGTGGAGCTTTGCTGTGGCCTGTCCCTGCTGTCCCACTGGTGCTTGGTGAGGAGGGRAGCTTGGGCTGGTGATCCCTGTCCTCCCAGCTGGTTTTGGACATGTCACTGGGAAGAGCAAGCTGCCAGAAGGAAGTGGAGCACTGGAAAAACCCCAGATCCTGGATGGACTGAGATGGCTGATAAGGCAGAGAGAGTCCAGAGCTCAGACTTACAGGCTGTTCACCCTTGGCATATGGAAGGGACAGTCTGAGGGCCAAAATCTTGGGGACAGTTGAATGCTAAGTGGCTGGAGTGGAGAGGTTTGGTTGTTCCCTGGGGRATGGTTGGGCACTGGAACAGGCTCCTTGGTCACGGCTCCAAGGCTGCCAGAGCTCAAGGAGCATTTGGACAAYKCTCTCAGACAAARGGTGGGATTGTTGAGGTYGTCCTKTGCAAGGCCAGGAGTAGGGCTTGATGATCCTTGTGAGTGCCTTCCAGCTCAGGATATTCAGTGATTCCATTATTCTTAGACAGTGATGGAGTCAGGTTCTGCAGCCTTGGCTGGAGGCTGTGTTGGGGGAGAGCCTGAGWGTGGCTGCCTTTGGGGGAGGTGGGAAGGGGCCCTGCAGGGTGACTGCTGAGTCATGTGGTCTGATGGGAGGAGGAGAAAGGACTTACATGTAACTGGTGTGCATCCCACAGGATAAAAATAAGCCAGAAGCCAAAAATGAAATCACCTGCAATGCTAAAGGAGGATTGTCCCTGGGGCTGCCAGGCTGACACCGATCCCTGGGCAAAATTAGCAAGTCAAAAAAAGCCCTGCCAGATTGCACAGCAATGGCCTGSGTGTGTTCAGCCCAGCTTTCTCCCAGTGGAGAAGAGAGAGAGAAACTGGAGACCCAGTGTAGCTGTGAGCAGAGGGAGCTGGGCTGAGTGCCAGCTGCTTGTGCCCCTGTGCAGGCCACGTTTGTTGTGGTTTGCCCCGTGAGATTTCACATCAGGACTTGTGTTGTGGGGCAGCAGCTGGCTGAAAACTAATGTCAGGGTTGCAGGAAGGAAACTGGAGGGATCGGGAAGGAAGGTGAGGGCCCTTGTGGGAACAGGAAGGGTCTGACAGTGTGTGCATTGGAGCCAACAGGGATGATTTCTGTTGTGTGTGGCGAGAGCTTAGTTAAAACTCAACCCTCACATGTGCCACCCTTCTGAGAGTGGCCACCCTGTCAGACCTCAGACACTTGGGTGCTGTTTTGCAGCCTGCACCTGTGGCATTGACCACCAAGCCCTGCATGGCAGCTCTCCCCTGGGTGTAGCCACAAAAARAAGGTGCCTTCAGCTGAACACAGCTGCAACTTCTGTCCTCCCCAGTGGGATCTTTTCCTATGCTCCCACCACCCCAAATTTGCTGGTGGGGTGGATCGCCTGCAGCCCCCTCGTCTCCTGTTCACATGGTGGGTGAGATTTGGTACAGGAGGCCCTGTCCCAGTGCCAGGCATCTCTGGTGGTTTCCAGGCCAGGAGAATGGGATGTCTGTGGGTTTGAAGTAGGGCAGAGCAGCCCGCGGCTTTGTCACGGGGCTGTAGTTGGTTTCGGTGCCTCTGGGGGGCACTGGAGCCCCCTGAAAGGCAGCGGGGGCCGGGTGGGCACCCCCCGACAGACTATTAATAATTTAACTGACTGCTTAATTCTCCACAGCCCCTTCCTTCTGAGCAAAACCCAGAGCTACCAGCCTGGGTACGAGGGGCGCATGAGTAATGTACAGCTCTGGCAGCAGGAATGCAGAAAAGAGCTTAAACAAAAACATTTTCCATCTCCCTTCCTTCCCCCCCCCCACCACCAGCCGCTGGTGAAGAAAACCGCTGCCACCAAAATCTATATAAAAACTTGCTCATTCTGTCACCCTGACGGCTCTGGAAATGTAGGGCAGGTACCATCCCAGATCTGCCAGCTCCCATCAGAGCCTCGCGCTGCGCCCGGATGCTGGGGTGCTGCTTGGGAACATCTTGAAGAGCAGCGAGATGGTAGCAGCTTTTTCAGGGTGGATCCAGATGAATCGAGCCAGTTTTGCAGGTGTGGAGGTTTTCAGGGCTCAATTTGGGGCTCAGCCAGTCTTCCCCAAGTCCCTCTTGTGAAAGACACGTCAGTGGAGGTTCCTCTTTGCTGCCCTGTAAATACACTGAGGTGTCTTTGGGGTGACACCTGTGCCGATGGGGACAGAGGTCTCTGTGTCACCAAACATGCCAGGCTCCTCTTGCAGCTGCCCCGGGTGTCCCAGCTGTCCTTCCCTGCTGTCACAGCTCTCTTGCTGTCCCTTGCCAGGAGGGTAGCAGGGTCCAGCCCTCCTCACACCTCACCATGGGGCTGTTTTTCCTGGCATTGCAGCTGCACAAGTCCCAGCTCTGGCTCTTCCCCCATCTGCTCCCAGAAGCCATCCTTGCCTGAGCTCAGCTCCTAATTTTGAACACCTCTGCTGCCCAGCACCCTCCCCTTCCCCCAGCTTGGATTCCATCCTGCATATATTTGCCACACAGCATTTAAAATAGAGCCTGGCAGCCCACGTGTGGCACTGCGCAGCCCGGCCTGTACTTGTGCTTTATGACTTTGGTTCCTGGCTTCCCTCTGCTCCCTGTTTTCTCCCAGTATGAACTGGGGGGGAAGCTCTCTGTCCTGTGAGTCCCTTCCCTTACTCCATGTATGGGCAAGAGGCAGTGCAGGAGGCTGGGAAGGGCAGTCCTGGAAGCCTGTGTGTAGTGGGGGATGTCTCACCTYCACGTGTTTCTCCATCCAGCTTTTGTGTCTCTCCCAGGTGCTCCAGCCAGGATGGGGCAGCTCTGGTCTGTACCTTAGAGATCATCTGGGCAGGTGATGTCTCTGAGAGGGGGATCTTTGGGTGTGGACAGCACAGCCAGGGCTGGAAACAAGGCCAGTGGGACACAGAACACGGTGCTGGATGGGCCCGGGAGGATGTGCATTGCTCCTGAGGAAAGCTTTGGCTGCTGCTGGGTGATCTGGCACAGTGACATGCCCAGCAGAATGGAACCCTGGGCTCTCTGTGGCCTCAGCCATTTGCCTTTTGTGGCACAGAGAGGGAAGAGGCAGCTCGAGGAGTGAGGAGGGGGCTCTTCATTGTTCCACCACTGCTTTGTGGGGCCTTGAAGGAGACCCTTGAGGTGTTTTGGAGTCTGTGACTGGGGAAGGGACTCCACTCACGCTATGCACGCAGTGCCACTGTGCCAAGGAAGGGGGCAAACAGACCCTGGTGTGCAGCAGAGCCCTGGCCACCCTGAGCACCCCACTCACCTGGTCCAGGTGAGCCCTGGCACTGGGCTGCTCTCCCTGATGTTGCTCTGCTATCCCTGGGGGTGGGTGTTGGGGTTCAGCAGTGACCTACAAAAATCCCTAGTGTACTGCCTGGCTTGGTGGCTGAGAAGCAGGGTAGAATTGAACTGAAATGCATTAATATGGTGAGCTGGCTCCTGATGTTCCAGCTCTCTCCTGAGACCCACCACTCCCATTCCAGAGCCCATGGTGACCTGGGGTTAACCCTTTGTGAGACGCACTGGGAGCATCCCTGGGATGACACAGCAGCGCTCTGGGAAATTTCCATGAGGCGCCTGTGTGAATCTAACTCGACTTAGCAACGGCTTGGCTTTGCTGGAAGCCCAGATGGCGTTTTGTTGCAAGGTGCCTGCGGGATGGGCTTCCTGGCATGGCTGCATCCTCCTTGGGATGCCAGGGAATTTCACTGCTGGTCACCCTCCATGGGGGAGCAGAGCTGTGAGGAGGAGCCGTTGCTGCACGCTGCTGACTTCAAGGCCAGTTTTGTTTGACTCAGACACTGCGTTGTCCCAAGCTTTCTCCTCTCAGAAGGGAGGGGCACCCTTAGATGCTGAGCAGTTTTGTCTGGGACTGTCCAGACCAGTAKCCAGTTAAACTGGTTTCCTTCCCCAGTGCCCCCTGTGGACTTTCCTGATGAGCTCACCTCAGAGTCCGTGCTGTTCTTCCAGCCTGACCCAGAAAGCAGC